AAAAAAAAAAAAAAAGAAATGGGCAAATCTATAATGCTATAAATCAGAGCAGTGGTTGCCTAAGGCAAAGGTTGTGGAAGATTGCCAAGAAAAAGGAATTCTGGAAGTTTATGAAAATAATCAATTTACTGATATTTCATTGAATACATTTAAAACCCGTGAATTTTGTTGCATGTAAACTATTTCCATGAAGCTGATTTTTTTTAATGAGAAATGTAAAAAAGCAATTATTTCAAAAATGCTACTTTCCATGTGAACAGTACTTTTGGGTTAATTTCCCCTTTACAGATGCTATCAAAAATACACTGTCTAAAGAATGTTGTCTGGCAGGCAGAAGAGTTATTATTTTAAAGTTGCAAGGGGCGCCTGGGTGGCGCAGTCGGTTGAGCGTCCGACTTCAGCCAGGTCACGATCTCGCGGTCCGTGAGTTCGAGCCCCACGACAGGCTCTGGGCTGATGGCTCAGAGCCTGGAGCCTGTTTCCGATTCTGTGTCTCCCTCTCTCTCTGCCCCTCCCCCGTTCATGCTCTGTCTCTCTGTGTCCCAAAAATAAATAAATGTTGAAAAAAAAATTTTTTTTTTAAAGTTGCAAAACTGATTGGTTGAGAGCTTTTTCATTTCAAATAATGGTAAAATACATGGATCACCCAACTCTCCCCTCAACCACTGAAAAAGCTGGATAAAATAGGAAGAACAAAAATGAAAAGTCCCACATTTTTGTTCCAGAAGCCTGAAGAGCTAGTGAAATAGTTAAGCACTGAGTGGCTAAATTGACATGAAAAAAAGACCAAAAGTCAAGTTAGATTAAGAAAAGTTAAATTTAGGTTGAGAAAGCACCCAAAATTCAGACCTTCTGGACTACCTTTACCTTAAATTCATATGTTGATTTTGAAAGCAGCAGCCAACAGGCTAAAAAGCAAAAAACAAAGCACACACACACTGGAGGAAGTTCTTTAGCCAGAAGGCATAAAGGAAGAAAAACAAAAATGGTAAAAACCTAAGTCAAAGTAACAGAATTTTCTTCTCTTGCACTCTTTAAAATGTGCTCGACAAACAGAAAGGGAAGTTATAACATTTTCTGATGAGTTTTGACTCAGATGTAATACATATGAAAAGTACACCAAAGAGGAAAAGGTATACAGATCCATACTGTGATAAAGTTTCTGCATTACACTTGAAATGTTAGCGTATTGATTCTTTGTAAACTGTGAAAAGTTAAATGTTTTTGAGCAACCAGTTAAAAAAGAATAAAAGTACAAAGCTACATAATCAAAACTACAAGAGAAAAATTTAATGGGATAGTACAAACTGTTCAAATAACTCAAAAGGGAAGGTAAGGGAAAAAGTGAAACAAACAAAAAGAACAAAATATAAAACAGAAGCCCTAAATCCAAACATAATCAATAATGACAAACATAAATTGTCTAAATACACCATTTAAAAGACAGATTTTAAAAAGAATCTTAAAAAGGAGTCAACTATATGCTACCTAAAGAAGATCACTATAACTTTAATGATACAGGTATCTCAAAAGGATAGAAATAGATATAAAATGCAAATATAAATCATAAGAAAGTTAGAATACCTATAGTAATACCAGG